AAATCGGGAAAGACCGCTCGGTCCTGACATTTCTTAATTTCATTTGTATTTTCTTAAAATAAACAGTGCGGTCACGTTTGAAATCAACACGTTTAGCTTTTATCACAGTAATTTTGTGGAGAGCTGGTATCCCGGTGGTATGACAATGAAAAACCGCCGGTCATATTGCCAGCGCGCGGCCCACACTATACGGCCGACTTTATTATTCTGGGTCAGCAAGAAGTGATGAAGGTAGGATCAATAACAAGTGCCGAGGAATACGAATGGCGATGGCGCCAAAACTATGCCAAATGTGAATGCTACGTGGAGGGCATACAAATATTCGCTAATCTGCTGAGCACTCTAATCTTTTCACCCGCACTATAGTAAAGTAATTTCTAGCATTAGGTACGTAACTCAACAATGCACACGAGGAAAATGTGTTTTATGATGCTGGAGGGCTAAGGAATCCATTCTAGGATATTATGCATTCATAGACCAAAGACACCATGGCAGTTAATGACAAGAACGAAAGGTAGATGAAGAAATATTACCTGTTTATTTATTATAGTTATGTGAGAGGGTGTTGATGGAGAGAGGAAAAGAGAAAGAGATAGAGAGGGAGGGAGAGAGATAGAGAGAGAGAGAGAGAGAGAGAGAGAGAGAGAGAGAGAGAGAGAGAGAGAGAGAGAGAGAGAGAGAGAGAGAGAGAGAGAGAGAGAGAGAGAGAGAGAGAGAGAGAGAGAGAGAGACGGAGAGAGAGAGAGAGGGATGGGAGGTAAATCTTTTACTTGGCATTTAAGTCGCCTGTTTTCCCAGAAGTTTGCTAAGCTCATCCTCAAACTTTCCGTTTGACATGTATCTGCTATCCTAACCTGTCCATAACTTCCATCGTAACACCGACACAAGTGAGGACGGGAGACTAATTGATGGACGTGAGACAAGTCCACTGACAATTTGTGCTTAAAATTTAAAGGCTGGAGTGGTGAGAGAAGTCCCACTGAGAATTTGCACTAAGAGCACTAAGAGTTTGAAGGTTGGGTGATCGTAGTCTGTACGATCACACTTCTGTCAAAACGCTACGTGATAAGGACGAGCACAAGTAAGTCATGAAACATGTTGTCGAATGATTACGACTTCAAAATAACAATTATAGTCGCCGTGAGATGAGACGCGAAGAGGGGCATCGCATTTCACCACAACTTTTCAGATATATCATATCCTATAGGCCAATTTTCTTTATCTGTAGGTGCATGCCACATGATGCATGTCATATCTATCCTTACTTCTTACATCCTTATCAGCTCGTTCTCATAGAACAAATTGTCACGGACCTTTTTAGAAAGTGGTGAGACAAACATTTTGTGCGTCAGTTCGTCTTTTTGATTTGTCTGCCGTTGGACATGTTCTTGATCGATAATGGTTCGCATGAGTCAACTCAGCTCCACAAATGCAAATTTCAACTGCAAACGAAATCGCATGGAGCAAAAATGGCCAGCTATAAGAATGGTGGAAAGATATGACGTAGAAAATATGTAGATAATTCAAACGCAAAGTGGCTCGAACTAACGCTAGGGCTAACTCCACTTTTCATTTTTGTTATTAAATGCATGGGTGATGTGCAATTTATCTGTAGGTTTGTGTTGAACCACAACCGATGTGTAACCTGCACTTTATTCATGATGCAGCCTTGTGAATGCGATTTCAACACAAACTACTTGTCCAACTTCCATGGGTCAGCCCATAGCTGTAGTCTTTCTGCATCAGTCTGCTATTCTTGCTACCAGACCCGGACAGTGAACAACTCGCACACCAGAACATCTCTCAACGCCGACAAACACGCTCATATTACACGTTTGGCAGTCCCGACGGTCCCATTTCGAGAGGAGACAGTCCTTGTTAGGCCGGGTCCACAGGGACCTCTGTGACGGCAACAGATGATGCATGACGCGTGTAGAGACGCACCCCGTCACGGTGTGAACGGTCCTTCAGTGGTAACGGCTCGTGACTGATGGGGACGGCACGCCACCGCTGCCAGGTGACAGGGATGCCTCCTCCTCCGCCAGGGGAGGTCTGCTGATTGTGGCGTTTGTCACCTGAATTGGCTGTGTCGGCCCCCGACTGGGAAACGCCAGAAACGGAACGCTGAGATTGGGAGACGTGTTTTCCGGTTTTAAAGGATAATGAGGAAAATTGAGGGCACATTGAGGGTATTATATGCTGTGATCATTTTATTTTGTTCCAATGCGCAATAGTGACACGGTCACAGGCGCTGCAATGGCTTCGTCTCGTTGGAAGAACTTGTGAACCAATTCAGGATCTAAGTTCTATCGGCGATAGAGAAACGCTTGATCTAACACCAAGGGTATGGATTTAACACCAAGGGATTAATGTTGTGGTTGGCAAATGACCAAGTTCTGTGTACACCGGAAATTGATTTCGGGCAAAGGGCATTGTGAAACCGGCTTACAGCATCGACAACCAAATCTTATTTCAAACGAGCTGGCAGAATCGAGGATTGCTCAATTTCTATCCCTCCTAAACTCAAGAAAGTGGTGACAAATTACCTACACATTGCGTGAAAGTGCAATGGCTTTCTTTCACGACTAAAATGCGTCCATGATTTCGAGCAGCGGCCGCTGAGATGGCGTACGTATATCCGGTCACGAGCGGACCTAAAGGTCAGTGGGCCCCAGTGGACTAGCAGGAAATGATCGCGACCACTGGGACGAACACGTTCTCACTGGATGAATGCTGTAGCGAAGTGAGTTCAAAAAGATGGTTAAGTGTCGACAGCGCATAGAACTGTATCTACTAGCTGCTCAGTGCTCATCTTTTCAAATAGATCTTTATCAGTTTAACTGTATAGGCATTTTTTTAAAGTTCAGCTGTTCAGATCAGTGCGTTCTATTTTCACATTCACTTCTCAAAACCAGTGTACATGATAAATAGCAGACTGTTAATTTTGGAAACTCAGATGCATCCAAATCATTGATATTGTTCCAATAAAACATGGGCTTGCGTAATACAATGGCTGGTTTTACAAATGTACCTATGTACCTACATCTAACAACAAGTTAATGCTTTGTTTACCTTACAATAGTCAACGCCAAAACTGAGAGACAACTTCTATATACAACAGTGCCCAGAATATTGCACCAAATTTATGTTTAGCATCACTCTAGAAAGTCTAACAACATACTGTACTTGTGAGATTGGACATTCAAGGTCCTGGCTTAGCTCCCTTGTTGTTTTGTATGATTTATTTGCATCATTTGTCGGTGACAGAGCTATCTGGGCAGCCTATGGTGATACGAAGACAAGTCATTCGTTTGTCTCCGAGTTTTCTGAAATAAAGACCGTTGAATAAAAGCATAGCAGTGGCATTCACTGTAACGAAACTAAAATAAAAGCAGATTAGATCATTAAGCTCATAGTAAACTTGTGATGATTATTGTATTTTTTTTTAATAAAAAGACGATTACGGATTATTGTGATATTGAAATGTTGACTGACGTCTGAGAAACACTGCTTAGTAAGTTTTTTTGGGCATATGGTCATTGTATTTGTGCTTTCTACTGTGCAATGATGCAATACATTGATTGAAAGACAAACTGCAAGAATTTGTTCTTGAAAATTTCATTAAGCTTGATTTGCTTGAGGTCGTAATTTTGTACAAAATGACGAGACATTTGCCAGGAAAAGGGACACACTTCTCTCGTCAGCAATGGAAAAATACAAAGTTCAAGATTCACTGCTTGCAAAGTTAATAGATACATTTTTGAATTTTTCATACGCTGGATAATAATAAAACGAAATATCAGAGAATGTGGTGGAGATAGCTGAATATGACTTACTGTCGATTAGCTGGCTTAACCCTCGCCCGCACATGGGGGGGGGGTGGTTGCCACCCCCCCCCCCCCCAGGTAGTCTTTCTGCTCTGCACTCAACATTTTTAGAGCTAGATAGCTGATTTTTCGTATAGTTGCTCCTCTATCCTTTCTTGATGTCCACTGAAAATTTCAAGTTTCTGTGATTTTTGGTTTCGGAGATATGATCTTGTTTTTCAGGTCATGTCATGACCCAAATGGCCAATTCTCAACATCTTGCGTTTGCCATGGGCCTTGTGAGCTTTTGACACCCTGATTTCGGCCTTTTTTGCCAGTCTTACCTCCCACCTATCATGGAACATGTTGTTCGACGATGTACAGGGGTCAAGGTCAGGGTCAAGGTCAACCTAGGTCATCTAAGATAATAGCGTTTTAGGCAAGTTGAATTGACTTTTTGTGAATTTTTTGACTGCATTTTTGGTAAAAGCTTCTCAGATCATGATTTCATGTCATATGGACCCAAAAACAATCGGTGCACACATCAGTATACACACAGACACACACAGACATACAAACACATATAATTGACCTTGACCTAACTTGACCTGAAATGACCTCAGCAGCAAAATTCTGGTCGGGTAGTGTGACAAAGAGGTTCTAGTTGGCTTGGCACCAGAAAACAGCATCGTCATCGGTATTTGATAAGCAGCGCACTTGATATCCAACGGTGACCCAAAACAGCAACATTTTTTTGTTTGACCTGACCTGGAAGGTCAATGACTGACCTGAGAAGGTAAAACTGGGTATCATTGGATTCGTCTCTTCCCAAAGAATCTTTTTGGTCTTTACCGCTAAGCTCTATCTCCAACAGGAACGAAATGGCGCGGGGGGGGTGGCAACCACCCCCCCCCCCCATGTGCGTTCTAGGATGGGAAAATGGCATGTGCGGGCGAGGGTTAAAGCTGGCCGGTTGGCTTTATCGGGTCTGTTATTGCCAAGTCAGCATCCCCAAATCACCTTCAGCTGGTTTATGATCGGTATAACTGCTGGTCCGTTCCCAAATCTCTTCACCAACGACCAAATCTTTTCTTGGATGATTTTCTCGGCACTCAATTTACAACAAAATCGTAATAGATACAATTTCCAAGTCCAAAGAAACACGTATTTTGATGTTTATATAGACTCACTTACCGGACCCGCGCGCTGTCGCCGCTCCTCTCCTCTTTCACCGGTCGTCCTCTATGCTCCGATTTCCGCCCCGACGGTGCGTCGGTGCCGACACCCAACCGCTCGCACCGTGCCGCCTTGGGCCACTGCCGTTGCCGCCGCCGCCGAGGTGCCAGCCGGAGCGTGCGCCGCCCCCCCCCTCCCCGGTCGGGTCGCAGGGGGGGGGGTCATGGGGGACGATTGTAGCGTGCGGTGTGTGAGGTGCGTGCGTGGCTTCTAATAGGTGCAAGCATAATCGTGTGTGTTCTCACACTCTGTCAGAAAAGAGATTTTCTAATCATGCTATTTATTTTCTTTCGTTTTGGGTGGTGTACAAAGACTACGGTAGTACCTGATTGTACTGATTGTACTATGGATGTTATACCATATAGATAAGAAATGAAAACACATAGCTATGATTATATGCTTCTTCGACTGTATGATTCGTCCCCAGTCTTCGTTTCCGACACCCTAAAACGGTCAGTAATTACGGAGCGAGCGAAGCGAGCGTAGTCTTTCCTTAGATTAACGGAAATTTCTGAGTATGAGCGGCCGGCCGTGCGGACGCTTTTGCGAGGCTTATATCTCAGCAACCACTTGACCGATTTACACGCGGTAATTTTTGTAGGGTAGCTTCATTCCTTCTACCAAGTATTGGACTATTCCCGATGCATGTGGGTGACCCCTTATGCACGTGCCACGTGCAAAACGAAGAGGTGTCAGTTTTGTAATTGTTGCAATATCTCGGTAACTACTTGGCCGATTGCGCTGAAAATTGGCATGTAGGTAGGCACCCACTAGGCACTGCATATCCATGTGCCAGAGTTGGGGTGCTGCTGCACGTGCGCACGTGCAGGGGGCGTTTCCAGATCTCGAGAACGGCTGGACCGATTGCGCTCAAATTTGGTACACGGTTAGGGACCAGTTAGTAGGGTGCCGTGCACAAGTCAGTTGGGACCCATTTTGCACGTGCGCACGTGCAGGGTGCCGCTCCCAGATCTCGAGAACGGCTGGGCCGATTGTGCTCAAATTTGGCACATCGCTAGAAACCGGTCAGTAGGGTGCCGTGCACAAGTCAGTTGGAGGTACCCCCTCGAAATTTCGCACGTGCAAGACTCACCCCCTCGCTCGCTCCGTTAGTCGCCCCAAAAGGCGCTATACTGGTATTATGTGAACGTTTTCATGCATGAGAATAAGAGAGACTGCAGGAAGTCGTTACTTCATCCGTGCACTGTGCACTTGCAGTAATGTTTGAACGTTGATATACAATGACGTGATAGCGTGTTTAATGTATTTAATCGCTAAAATTGGGTCTTTGCATGATTCATCGATATTCGATACGCATGCGATATCCAAAAATAGGATAGGTCCTAATGATTATCTCAGCGTTATTAACTGCTATACTCGTTCGGATCGAACATGGGCTTATCTAATCGAACATATAAACTGCGCACTCTGGCACACACAAACTGTGCGGCATTCTTAATTTCAGGATAAGGAACCTGTCTTTCTGCTGAAAAAGAATTATTTACTGCTCAGTTACCTAACGAGGGGTGTGGCTACAACCTCATCAGTTATAAAAAATGAAAATCCTCACATCAAACGTTTTGGATCCATAAATACATACATCGAAACCGTAAATACCGACTGCAAATGCAACAATTAAGGACAATCTGTATGATCAATAGTTTTCCTTCATATCCAATCGTAAATTCCCTTTCTATTTGCGTCTCTCGCTCACAGTCACATCCCTCAGGATGTGGCGTGGCTATATTGCCGGACAGGTCACTGACCTGACCCGCTGATGACCGTGTCCGCTGGCAGAATGCCGACTCATCAGACGCAGCACGCACTATGCCTATTGTCAGGCAGAGATGTAGGGATCGTAAGGCATGAGCCGTGGGGTCCTTCATGGTGTAGGGACGCTGGTGTGAGGGCGCGGCTGAGCCTTCTGCGCCTTGGTGTGGAACACCGACCGATAAGAGCCAGTGAGCCTCTGTCTGTCGCTGGTATGGCTCGGAAGTGGTGTCTGCCAGGCGGACATGGATGAATGGCTGCCAGTGTCACGCCTACGCGCTTCCATCTGCTCCTTCCACCGGATCACTCCGCTCTGTCTATCGTCTCTCTCTCTCTCTCTCTCTCTCTCTCTCTCTCTCTCTCTCTCTCTCTCTCTCTCTCTCTCTCTCTCTCTCTCTCTCTCTCTCTCTCTCTCTCTCTCTCTCTCTCTCTCTCTCTCTCTCTCACCCATACACCCTCTCTCTCTGTCTCTGCATGTCTCTGTCTCCCTGCTTCCCTCCCTTCCTCTCGCTCCCTCTACTTTATCCTCTCTCTCTCTCTCTCTCTCTCTCTCTCTCTCTCTCTCTCTCTCTCTCTCTCTCTCTCTCTCTCTCTCTCTCTCTCTCTCTCTCTCTCTCTCTCTCTCACCCACACACTCTCTCTCTGTCTCTGTGCTTCTCCCTCCTTCCCTCCCTAAGGCCACACGAGGCTCTATTCTCAGGAAGAGTGGTTGCTGATGTGACTCTGATGCCGGGGTTGCACCGGTAGGTCAATACCTACCTACCTGCTGTTTATGTTGCCTGCTCGAGACCGGCTTCGTCCTTAGCGCGGCTCGAACAACATGTTGTTAGCAGCACCGACGCTTTCCAGGTAACTGGTGATATACTTTGTGAGCATATCCTTAGAGAGGGAGAACTTCATTCTAGCCAGCTTTAGAAATAATAGCGCAAGTTGATTGCCATTTAAGCTACAAATTATCATCACAAAGGAACGCCGCGTTGAGGACATTTGAGAATATGCTATGGAACATGGAAGCAGCCTTCTACATGCTTGATACATATGCATTATAGTTTATACATACATTCTACATAAGTTGTATGCTTGCACCATTTTCAAATTAACGTAAGACATGCAATGAGTAAGTTAACTTGCTAATAAAAAATTAAAAAGTTTACTTGCTAATATTCCGCAATGAGGCTGCCTATTTAATGTTGCCTAACATGAGCTCACTATGCCGATTATTTTGTCTTATCCTGTATATCCGTTAATGTTATTTTCAATGTTGAGAAACGTATATTTCTCGAAAACCTTTTACACAAACTATTAATTGTCAATTGTCATGCACGAATGCAGTGTTGTCACGTCAAGCAAAATCGCCTGCTGGGCTGAAATACAACTCGATTGCTTTCATAACAATGTTCAGGATCTGGGTTATTTCGGTCAGGAAGCGGCGGTTTCCTGTGTGCTAGCTTGCAACGTAATTATATCACATAATTAGAAGCTATGTGGCATTTCATAGGATTACACGATAATGGTGTGCTTAATGGATAACACAATGCCGGAACTGCCACCATTTTAACTGCTGCTAACCTCCTTCCAGCAGACGTTGAATTGAGCTCATGCATTTTTAACTTCCCGTAAATGAACGGTGATTTTTTCATCATAATTCTCTTTAGGTATACTGTAACTGATTGTTTTTGTTTTTACACTTCGGTTCGTTCCACTTCTAGCTTTGAGAAAAATGAATTGGACTAGTATCCACCAATAGCTTTGGCATTAGCTGGCATTGAAATCACATGAAAATGTGTTCAGCGTGTTTTTCTGTAGAAGAGTGAAGGTCTGACATAAAGTTCGAATCAGATTCATATATGTGTCTGCAGCTTTTCAGTGAATAAAAAATACGTTTTTAGTTTAACCCGCGCACCGACGGGGGGGCGGATATCCGCCCCCCCTGAGGTTTTTCGCGGATAGCGGGAAAACCGCGGCGCTACGCGCCGCGAAATTTGGTACGACTATTCTCTCATCAATTTTACACATGGTGTGCAAGTTTGAACCGCCTAACTTTTAAGGTCAGGTCACCAGGTCACTTTGAATGACCCAACCTCAAGTCACTTTTTTGCAACTTTGTCACCGTGCCAGAGCTACAGTAAATGTCGGAGGCCTTTGAAAGTCGCGGGATGTTATTAGGTTATTAGTAGCTACAATTTTTATATCTCGGAATTTTGCTATCGGTGACCTAAGGTCAGGTCAATTTCGCGACCTCCCCATTATAAGTCAATAGGGGGAAAATCAACTCCCTGTTTTTACCACTAAAACGGGTCGGAATGGCCCCATATACCATGCATGACTTCATATACGATCAACCTTCACTACCTTGAGGTCTGTTTTGCTGTTGGGCAGCTGTAAGGTCATGTGACGTCATCAAAGGTCACCAGCGGTTTTTTGCCAATAACTCCGTACAGGAACAAGATACAGCCGCGCGGATGTTCTCAGTGTGTTCAGCTCATCAAGACGCATCAAATGATATACATGATGACCTCGAGGTCACGTGACCTGAGGTCAACCTTTGACCTTGACCTTTCGAGGTCAACATATATATCATTCGATGCGGATTGACGAGAGGATCACGATGCTACCCTTAGTTTGTTCCTATCTTGACTAATTCAAAAGTTATTCGAGAAAAACTCTCCATATCTAGCGCCGCCATTTTGACTTTTTCGACCCCTGTGACGTCATTTTTGACCTGACCTGAAAATGACCTTAGTAAAAATTGTAGACCTTTTCCGTGCGTATCCGATGCCGTTTACCGCTTGTCGCTATCTTGCTTTGTTCTCGAGATCTCAGGGGGGGGGGCGGTCATCCGCCCCCCCCCCCCCCCCCCCGTCGGTGCGAAGTTGGCGCAGACCCCCGTCGGTGCGCGGGTTAAGGTTCAAATAATAAACTTTCATTTTTTAGGGATCGTGTGTGTCATGATTTCGTCACCCCTACCTAGATCCTGCCAAACCACAATCAATAGCAGTGCCGATTATTGTCATCCGCACCAAATCGTGGAGTCCAAGACGTTGACCGTGCATGTATCTTTTCACCGTTTGGTGGCGCGCAGAGCTGAGGTCGACGTAGGTGGCGCTGTTGTACCATCTCTGTGAACTGTGAGCCGAATGAAGCTGGCGCTGCACCACCAGTCCAGCCCACCCCACGTCCCCTAGCGCAAGCCTGTCGGGCACGGCTTTTTTGCTCCTAAGTTCATCAGGCCGAGCCTAGCTTGAGACGGAATCATTCCACTACAAATATTGGCCGCAGGAGGGTGACTGGCTGGTCTGGCCTGCTGCGGGGCACAGCATTGAGGACAGGGCTGCGGAGTCGATGGATTTTCGGCGACTCCGACTCCGACTCCGACTCCGGCTTTCAAAAACCAGCTCCGACTCCGACTCCGACTCCGACTCCGGTCACAACTGTCGATTCCGACCGACTCCGACTCCGACTCCGACTCCGACTCCGACTCCGCAGCCCTGATTGAGGTGACGTTGGGATTTCTTTCTGATGCAAAACCCAGGTCGTATGGTACACGGTAAAGCTTCCAGTGCTGCAGTTGAAAGCGATTTCTGATGCAACGCCCCATCGCGCGGACAAACACCACAATGTCAACGCATTTATCCTACCATTCTCGGCGCACGTAATCGGGTCATTTTGGGACCGAGAGCTCCAAAGCGGTTATTGGTCTGCTCCATGAAATAATCTATGACAAAATGGGTGATTACTTGATAATTAGGGGAAGACGGGGGAACACCGACCCCTTAACCCACGAGCCGCTGGGGGGGGGGCATAAAGTTGCCCCCCCTTTACGTTTTGTGAAATATCTCCGAAACCTGATGAGCTACGAACGTGAAACTTGCCATAGCTTCAAATGAATACCTAGGCAATGTTTGAGGAAAGTTTGGTGGTTGTAGCACCTGAAATTACGTCACAGTGACGTCATAAAGTTTTGTCGTTTTCCGATATGGACCGTTTCTGATGACGCTGAGCATGAAACTCAACTGTAAATGAACTAGACAGCACCTGCTGTCATCCTAAAACATCTAACTACACTTACATCTAGTTTCTGACCAGTAATCGACCCTTTATATTCGGTCCCATATACGTGTATCTGATGCATCGTGAGGAATATGCGAGTCGCAAATCTATAATTTCACTTATGACGTCACTGTGACGTCATTTCAAATGGGATCAACACCAAATTTGGACACAACCTCGGATAGGTATTCAGGAAGATGTGTGCAAAGTTTCGCTTCCCTACCTCTTCGCGTTGCGACGATATCGTCGCAGAAGTAAAGGGGGGAGCAACTATATGCCCCCCCCAGCGGCCGGCGGGTGGCGCTGAGGCCCAGCGGCCGCCGGGTTAACCTATAAGGGTCTAGTCACGTAATGTTTGGCCAAATGATCAATCTCTCAGTTTCATTGGATTGTCGCATTAATTTTACACACATATCAACCAATTGTTTTCTTGTAGTGTCGTTCATAATTGCATTATGGCCACACTTAGTAAATGTCTACATTTTTCGGGGTAACACCGACCGTTGGGTAACACCGCCCGAGCTTAACAGGCAACGAAATTTGCAGATTGCTGGACTAATAAATTGTTCTTCTTATCGTAAATTTCGAGTCGTTTCAGTATGATTATAAAATACAGTGAAAACGATTTTATTATATCCCTGTTACAATATAGTACTCATTTATATAACTAGACGACTTAAAGTCCTAAAATTTCATTTTCTCGAAATTTTTCGTTATCTTCTAAAGAGAAAACATAGCAACAACGTTCTTTCTTTATTTGAAATGCGCCACTCCTGGGTTAGGTGTCACAATGTGCTATTAAATACCAAGTTTCCCAAGTGGGCGGTGTTACCCAAGTGTTTGTATTTTTTTTAAATCCTTTAATATGGCAGCACGACAAAAATTTCGCTCGAGCAGGAGCAAGTAATGCTTGGATGAGTCCTAATTATGGCCAAAAATACTACTTCAGGACTAATGTCTGTCAAATAAGATAAGTTTTCTTCTGCTTATTATGCTAGCAAAAGTATAAAACGTTTTCACGAAACGTAAAATTAGGGATTTCTCGCAAATCACCTAAACCAATGCGGTGCACTGCCCATACCTGCACTTCTGTTGTCGTCACGCTGCCAAAAGACAGTCAGCTGTCCCCCTAGACCTTTTTTATTTCTGATATCGGGGTGGGCGGTGTTCCCCAAAGGGCGGTGTTTACCATGTTCCCCTATACGTATTTAGCGCGACAGACCTCGGTCTAAGTGTATAGCTAGCGTTGTTAAAGGAAGGCTGCTGCCTTCGTTGCGGCGCAAAGCCGCACATTCAAGACAGAGCAGTGCCCGAATTATTCAGTCACCAAGGCTACAGCTGGCCACGGCTTCAATCAACCTTAGATACAGTAATGTAATAACGTTTAGTTTAATGACGTACAATTTCAGCGGCAATCACACAGAGCCAGCGATGAAACTAATACAGAAAGTTTGCTCGAATGACCTTTGCTGGTTGCTCCCAGCTCTTTTATTGCTTATGCATATAACGTTGCACTTGGTATATTTTTCCGGTTCATTAGTGTAATTATGTATTTATATAACAATATATGTGCATCTGATAAGATAATGGCACGTCGGTAACAGCGTCAAAAATGGCAGCAAAATCATAACATCACCTATTATAAGTCTTACCTGTCAACTTAAACCTCTCGGTAGTGCATTTCTTTCCTTCACAAACCATAACCTCCACCAAAATTCAACATTATCTCAATAGAACATAGATGGACTCGTCAAAAATTTGCACTTCCGCGTTTGTCAACAGTTATCTATTCTATTACATTCATTAGACATTGAATACCAATTTCATGCGCACTTCACCACGCGCCCGATCCGACACCCTGTTTATCCTACAGTCACCGCTTCGACTCGTTCTGGCTCTCCACCATCCACATCACTTTTATATCTCCAGCCTGAAACATCCTCCAGTCTTACATCACACATTCTCACAGTCTCACATCTCACACTCACATCCCCACAGCCTCGGTGAGATGCCAGGTGAGACGATTCTCCCTCTCTCGCTCTCAGGGGGTCCGGTCGGGCGCGCGGCCTCGCCGACCCACCCTCTCCCAACGCCACCGGCCCTCCAGAGGCTGCTCACGGTGGAAATCAAAGTTCCATCGCAGGGTCTCGGCTCGCCGAAGCTCCTCCTGCTCCTCTCTGAGCGCTCGATCCAGCTCGGCGTGGTCGGGCCGACCGAACAGACACCGTCGCGCTGACCTGACCGGTCGGTGCTGTGGACCGTCGGCCGTCGTCGGCGTCGACTCGTCGTGCAGTCGCCGCTGCCGTTTGGCCCTCCGTGCCAGTCGGGAGGCCGACTCGGGAGAGGCAGACCTGACTGCTCGCTCCGGAGAGCCGTGCCGTCGCTCCGGCTCCGGCTCCGACTCCGGCTCCGGGGAGGATATCGGCTCCGGCTCCGACCCCGGAGTCAAAACCGACTGTAGACCCGGAAGAGATCCAGTACCAGATTCCAGCTGGCATTCTGTGCTCCATGATGGAGAATCGTCCGATCGCCGCCGACGCCGAATCTCCGGCCGCTCCAGTAGCTCTTGAGGGGGCATCGCGGGGCCTGCGCTGTGACTTGGCCCGTGACCTGCGCGGTGACCTGCGTGATGGCCTGTGTCGTGGCTTCTAGACTGACTTCTAAGACGCAGTTCTCGGTCGGTTTCGGTCGTGGACTGGCCGTTCTCGGCGCGCGGCGCGGTGTTCTCTCGAGACGGCACTCTCCGTGGCATGCTCTTCAGCAACTCTGACTCTGCATCGTCTGTGAACAGGACAAAAGGCAACGGTCATTGATCGGCAGCGGAAGGGGCTGTCCGATGACATCACATTGGTTATCGTTACCGATATGATAGCATAGCGCTTGAATCATTCCGGCTTCCGGCTAGCGGAATACCGCGATAGTTCTGTGCCTCTGGCATGCTGGTTGCTGACGCACGTGTTTGTTCTCGATAAGCAAAACATCGGAGTGATGCAATGAAAGTAATACTTGCACAACATTTTGTTAAGTTTATCTGTATGGATGTCAGGGGAGTGTTGCAAACTTATGTTTGTTTTATTGCTTTGGCCCTTTCGGTCAGAGGAGACGATTTCAGAGACGTAGAATTTGGGGGATTTATGAATAAATTGGCCTGGACGGTGACCCAGCCCCTCTGGCGGTCACCACACTGCACGCGAGGGACGGGCCCTGATGAGGCACTCACGTCGGATGAAGGTGACCGTCGAACCGGGAACAAGGGGCCTGTGGCACGGATTTATGGACGTCCTGAGGATCGAACAGAGCGATGGGAGGTTCAAGAAGAAAAAACATGCTCTGGAACCTGTGAAGTCTTATAATGTCTATGCACATAACAGTACAGTTCGCCACCTCTCCTGCTAATGTTGTGAAAATGTAATCTACGAGTGTCATCGAAATACAATTCAGTCAGGTCAAGTTACCTCACCTTACGAAAAAAGCCCTACATGCTCGCCCCTAGCTACACCGACTAAATGATTCCATGGAACCTTTCAACGATTAATTGCAATTTACAGCAACATGATATATGAAAGTCACATTACGTCATGTAAAGATCACGAAAAATATTCGGTAATATCTTTATGGAGCTTTGAGTTGGTATAGAGCAATCCGAACACCTCACAAGTTGTCAATTTAACAACGCGGTGACCTATACGTAAGAGCAAATTTTCAACTTGCCCTTGGGTCAAATTATAGTTCATCTTGACGATAAAATCACTATGGTGAAAAAAATGGCATCCAAGCATAGTTTATTGTAAAAGTGCATTTTAAGTTGCCATTTAGTATGCAGAATGTAAAAAGAAAAATAGTTTGAGATAAGGAAAATCATCCAAATGTCAATAACATGACCTGACAGATTAGCATTCTATCGCACCCTCTGTTTGACGTGCTGCAAAAAAGTAATACTAATAATACGGTCGGTAGGCTGAAATCTTACGCATTCATTGAACTTGGTATGAAGAAGTATGTGTGGTGAACAAATAAACAGTGTAGACTGTTTTCGCAATACGCAATACCTACGTGAATCAGGGTCACATGTATGGAACATGTCTCGAGGGAGGGTGTCAATGTAATGCAAATACGACCCGGTGGGACTGGGCCAGCTGAATGTGCTGACCTCTAACTGAGGGAGATCCGGTTTACACTGGTTAAATGAATTCTGCAGAACTGTAACTGTGCAGTGTGCATCACACGAGAGCTGCATGGTGTCCTTAGAATCTGATTTCATTCACCATTGGGGAATATGAATGAAAGACCTACACAGAGGTTTACACAGATCCTACACAATTTCACCTCAGGTGTTACTACATGATTGAAGATATGTGGAATTCAATAGGCACTGAAATCGAAAAAGACAATCTCAATTGAAAAACTTACAAACGAGGCTACTGAAACGTGATTGAAACCTGTGGATGGCTATGACACTAGGATTTACAAATGCGCTCTGTATTTCCGCTTCCTTATGTTTCTAATGCAGCCAAACTCGTTTCAATGGGCTGATGATGTTTCAAATGAGGATAATTGAGTGTAAAACGTAGCTGACAAATTTTGATTGATGTGATTTGTGAATCTGTTGTTGTATTCACATTCTCCTCTTTGGGGATTAGGGATAGTTTGATGTGAAATGCAACAAAATATGTCTGGGGTGAAATAGGTCCCTATAGCGATTCTTTATGTGCTTGTAAGTGACAGGGTAAGATCTCATTATCGCAACAGATTAGTGAGAGGGAAATAGTTCTCTGACATGTCACAGCACAAACAGTTGATAATTAAGTTAAGGTAGTAATAATTCGGTAGTCAGTTGGTGACTGTAATAAACCCAATTGTAACCAAATCAACAGGCATATGTATGTAATGACAGTCATAACCGCAAACTGTCATAACTGTAACTGTGACAAAGCTTTTTGCTTTCTTCCTCTTGACGAGCCCCAGAGAATCGACAACCACAGAACCTCCGAATAAAATGCCAAGCGCACTAGCCATCTCACCAGATCACTCTTCCTACTGGTTACGAAACTCACGGATCACCAAGCCACCACCAACATTCACACCAGTTGTCACCAGTGTCACCACTCACCAGCACAGCCAACGCCCCTGCGCAGTGCGCGACTTCCCTCCAGCTCTGACCGCGGCCCTCCCGACAGAGGCGGGTCGCGACATGCACACTGGCCCTGGGGCTACGTCACACAGTCGGCCTATCGCACGGCCAGCACGCCCGGCACGCCACGGAGTGCGCCACGAGCACGGCGGACGATGCCGTGATTGGCGGAGGCCGGCGCCGACTGCCGCGCAGTGACTGCGGTGGTCCGTGTGACCGGCAAGGGTGCGGGTCCGCCTCCAGGCCCGAGAGGCCAGTGTCCGTTTGCAGAGGCGGCGAGCACGGCCGACGGCCTCAGCGTACGACGCCAGAGTACTACGAGTCAGGGGCTCTCAAATAGCTGCGGGCCGCGCTGCCGCTTGGCTCGCCGCCAAGGAGCCCATGGCGATGGGTACGGGTAGCAACCGTACTACGACGCAGTTGGTTTTTAAACTTCCATCATTGGTTCATGGACACTGGACAGACATGGTTATTCAATGAGTTGAGTGAAGTTTGTCCTATGCATGCGAGCTTCTGGCCTGTTATTCTCTCTAACATAGGCTTATGTGTTTGCAAAATGCAATGAGATAAGATGAAAAGCACTTCCCGGCAGCGGCACGCCGACCTGGAGCGGGTTCAGTGACCCTGAAGTCAGTGACTTTGCAACGTGACTCGGCTGCTTCCCGCTCTCCAGGCTCATGCAGCTGCGTGCTTGCCCGCGGGCATTCTGTTGCGATCAGACGCCTCACCGTATAGCATGGATAGGAAGCAATTTAGACGCGTCGCGTCTTTATTACATGTGGTAGCGACCCAGAGTTATTATGAAACGCAACAGGTGTTGTAAACGGAGCCCATAATGACGTGCGTTTTCCGTGTTCCGAGATGGAAGTGAACCTCTCGCTGGTCGTCTGGTTTGAGTGCCCCTGGCACATCGCTCGCGTACTACACGAGTCCACTGCGGTCGGGCGTCTGTCTCTGCGGCCTGTGACGTCACGAGCTGATAGCCCCCCTCCGAGGGCAGGGGGAGGGGGCGGTGCAACACGCGCCACGCGCCACGCTGGCCACGAGCCAAGGCCGGACGACGCCGGGGGACGAGGGGGGGAGGAGACGGCGCAGCCAAGCGGCCGCCGTCGTGTCAACAGCGTGTCTGCGGCAATCATCGCCGGACTGGTGGAGAGGGGGGATGACAGGACGACAAACACAGCTCAGCCACTCCTCTCTCGGCTGTCCTCGCGAGTGAGCAGACTGCCTGGCTGATAAATGTTGACACACTCGACGGTGAGCGCACGAGGAGCTTACCAATCAGTAGTCATACCGCAGCTCTATGTATGTAGTTACAAGAACGAAGCAGGCGTTAAAAATAGATGTTTACTGGACAAGAGTTCTCTTTGGTTTTGCGTTCTGACGAAAAAGCTGACAAGAAATATGAAATAGGCATCAACCGCTTGCATACTACAGTACTACACATATCGTCTTCTCTTCACACATGTATAAATTTTTGTTCAGGTCAAAGCTGAGGCCACTCTAGTTCATAAAGGCAAATTTTCCCGTAAAAATTCACGATTGTGATAATTTTTTTTTACAAATCTGCGCATAAATCGTGTATAAAACGGTTACAAGGTCTCGGAAAAGCGCATTTGATAGCTTTTTTCAAATCTCTCTGACTGATTTGCCCTCATAATTGATCTCAAGTCAACGGTTTGGCCCATAGAAGGGCCAACCCGCTAAATAGACGAATAACTAACTATTGCCTAAACACAATTTTTCCAGAAATATTCTTGCAGTTTTATGTGTGATAATTTGGATCCTTTTCATTTTTTGAAATATTTGTATTTGTTGCTTTGATATGAAATACTTCTTGGAATCAAACAAGCAGTAGACTGGGCCAACGTCTACCTTCGGCAAAGGCGTATGTTCCATTAACCCGCGCACGATAGGGTATTTTCCATAACGCGAGTGACTGCGGGGGGGGGGGCTCTCCAGACTCCAGAGCCCCCTCCTATCTCCGAAACTACAGGGCCGATCGTCAAAATTCAAACGGCATCTGATAGCCCTGGAAAATTGTCGAACGAAACCTATCTCCATTGACCTCGAGGTCATCGATGACGTCACAGGTCAGGTCAAAATAAAAATTATCGGCATTTTTGCTTGTTCACAATTTAGGCTCTGTCCGCCGGCTGACAAGTCCGATCTGGCTCATTTTTGGTTTAAGCACTCCTTGATGTATGCCTTGGATACCCTGAGGGTACTAAACTTTAACTTCGAATTTTTCAGGTCAAGGCCACTGGCCAGGTCATCCTAGGTCACGAAAATTGTACATATATCATGTATCGGTCACGTGACGCATGTTTCAGGTTAATTTATTTTATTCGTAGATTTCGAAAACAATATCGTCTGTGTCATTTGAGGTCATTTTCAGCTGAATTTACCGGAGGTTAGGTCACTTTCAGGTCAGAAAAGGTCAAATTTTGAAAAAAAAAAATCAACAACAAAAAGGATGCCTATCAGATGCAGTCTGAGCTCAGGAACACAATGGTTCCATTTATATTGCTGTACGATGTCAAAAACGTCTTGAAAAATGGTTTTGAAAAATATATAGGTAATTGTAAGATTTTGTCAATAATGCAAATAACTTGGCTATTTTTGAAGATATTGGACTAAAACTCGCTAGAGTAGTTCATCAGTGTGTGTTATTTTATCACATATATTCGGGTTAAAAAATTGAATTAAAAATATGTTTTTTGTAATTGTAAAAACATATTTTTTAAACTTTTCAAAATTTTGAAAATTCAAGATAGCAGTTTGATAGCTACGTGAATTTGTAGTCCACTGATGCAAAGAAATGGGATCTAGCTTTTAAAACTAAGCTCTTGAAAGCGTTTGCCGTAATTCAATATTTTGCATCGAAATCGGCCGACATGACGTCACTCTGACGTGATTCCCGGCCAAATTATGGTAGTTAGAAAGTTGAAATTTTACCACATTGTGTCAAATTGATGCCACTGAGGGTACCGCAAGTTTCGTGTTGATCCGTCGAGCGGTTTAGAAGATATTGCTAAAAAGACGGGAGAGGGGCTCTGTAGAGCCCCTACCCCCCGCCCCAAGTCATGCGCCGTTTTAATAAGGAGTATTCATATCACGGTAAAAAAAGATCCTTGCTGTAGATCGGCTGGTCAATGCCACGTACACAAATTTAACAATTTCTCGTACTGTTCTCTCGGCCGTCGAACCTCACCTGTGATGTAGCGCTCCGTCTCCTCTCTAAGCGTCCCGTCACCTGTACAGACCACCACGCAATGCACGCGGCCGCGGGGCGTTTAAACTTTAAAGGGGCTCCACGTCGGCCACCGTCATACCTTGTGACGTGCATGCCGTCAATGCTCGACCAATCCGAGCCCGCATCTGCCGAACATCCCCCAAATTCAAACTTATCGGCTGACATTTCGCACGGGGTAACGGCTCGTCGGCAGTTGCGCGCGCGGATGGCACAAGTGACACTTTTCCGATAGTTTTTGTCGCAGTCGGGTGGGTCCGGCGTGTGCCACAGCTGGCTGTTCCCGTCGGGGAGGGCAGGGCGCTGATCTGCCCCGGGCGCCCCCGCCCCCGCCCCCGCCCCGTCCCCCGCCGCGAGTTTTAGGGGCGGCAATAATCTGAGATACGTTGAAGCGGCAGGCCTTATACATCAGTTACATTCGCACTTTGCTTAGTGTCTTCAGTGCAATACATAGCTCAGACAATGAGTAAATCCTTGCACACTTGAGGTGCGCACGGGTCGTTCAGTACACCAATACGCTATATTTATCTTTGGCGGCTATAAAAAATCGCGTTCAGCACACAAAAAACGACGCCGTTTTTTATTCATGCTGAGCGGGTAATCTTATCTGTTTACAAACGCTTCTCGATGCTGAAGTCTGTCGCTTCTGGTTAGTCATTTGAAATGCCTAAAAAAAGTTTAAAATGGTGGCTGGATAACGTATCCAGCCACCATATCCAGGCTGGATAACGTATGACTGGGCGATGACATGATCCCTACAGGGTCTTTCTCGCCGAATGTGTTTTTTTTTTAACACTTCAGAAACGTACAAAAAAATGTTATATTCCTGTAAGCATTCTACGTCATCATAAGCGCTAAACTTGGACATTTTGATTTTACGCTTTATTGGTCGGCCTCCACCCAAGCTGTTTCCACAGGAGCTCCTTGTCTTTCGGCGCATACAGCGGCGCGTCTATGGAGACTGGAGATGGCGCGCGTCACCTCCATTGGATCCATGGCGGCCGCTAGCTCCTCGACCACGCCCATCAGTTGCTTTAGTGTGGTCGAGGGTGTGCCCCGAGGCTCAGCTCACCTACAAGCTCACCTCGTACTTCCAAATATTTCCTTTGTTGAGCCATCTCCATGGCCGCCATTGTATCGTTTCTTAGCTCAGAGCAAAATCAGAGAAGACAGACCTGATTTGCTTATCGAACGCTGAACGGCGCCAGAACCAAACCAATCGGCAGCCGACGACCCGTTACTAACACTCGCTCCAAGAGCGTCACCTGGAAATATCTTCTGGAACTATTCGTGTTTAGCTTTGCCATAGATGACGCTGGTGTGTGCTTAGAGAATGCGATGCCCTAATCCATAGATGCTTCTTTGCGGCTTACCTCCATCGAAACAGTTTTTGTTTTTATTAAATCACTTCAAATTGCTTATTTAGTTTATTTAAACATTCACAATTATTATCTTGTGATCAGTGACCCTGACCTCTTTTGCTCAATGAGCCCATGACTTTTATATAAAAATAATGACCGTATGAGTTTATCAATGATTTAACTTTTTTAAAGCTCCTTTTAATTGTGGTTAATGCAACTTGAGGCTGCTGCGATATTTAACCCGCGCCCCGCTGGGCTATTCAGCCATACGCGCCCTGCTGGGGGGGGGGGGGCAAATTCTGCCCCCCTTGTCTAACTTCCGAACCGATGGTCGTAGAAAGACGGGGAAAACGGCAATCGAAAGCTCTCAACAAGGCGGATCTTAAGAGCCCAAATTTTTTTGCTTAAGTAGGTCAGAGGTCAGGTCAAGGTCAGGTCAAGGGTACAAAATGCAAATTTCTACAGTATCGGCCTTGCACCGTAGTTGCCGAAGAATGGACTGAGACTGATTGCCCAAAACGTGTTCTTAGACTACCAAGACAATATTCGTTGCATACAATGTCATTCAAAGGTCAAGGTCAAGGTCAGGTTAGGTCAGGTCAGGTCAGGTCACCAAAAACAAAATATAGAAAAAGGCATGTGCGACACATGTTTTATGGGTCATTTTACTCATAGAATTCAATAGGCACACTCAATAAGTGA